CCCATTCAAAACAGTAGGTCATCATATGCAATGTGGACATTGCCTCACTGTCCTCAGCACTGAGAGAAGAGCCAGAACAGCAGGTTCCAGCTTGTTCAGATGATCCACAGTCAACAAAGCCAATGGTTTGCAGGCTAAGGACTTGCGTGGTCTTTCCTAGGTGTTGCTCTAAGTTCATCTTCATTCTCCTTCCTTAGCAATGAGATTGCTGAGTGTTAGCTAGTATAACTTTCATATAAATTAGGTAGCTAATCCTAAAGCCGTGAATGATGTTATGAATAAAAAAACCATATGCTTCACCAAAGAAAATGTGTCTAGCCTATAACCAAAGGGAATAATTTGCATTTTAATCAAAAGGCAAAGTCAAACCAGCACAAATACATCTGTCAGGGAGGGGAAGAGCACAGCCAAGACATTTTAAATACTTCCAAAGTACCGTGGATGTTTACCAGATTCAAGTTTAACCAGGAAACCCTACTTCTGTATATGCACTAGGTACACACAAGTTGGGAAGACCACAAGCTTTGTGGCAGCAAACAGATAAAACTGCTGTTATGCACGGTAAGTCTGAGGACTGAAAGACACACAGAGCGACAGAAAGTACAGCCTGCATTTTGCCCACAAAGCTAGGAAACCTCAGTGAATTGCGATTCAGGTAATTTTATAGAGCAGCAATTCCCTGACGCGAACACTGAAGCGGAGCAGGACTGCAGTCACACCAGTTGGCCCCCAACCCTTGCCAGTAGATGCTGCTGCTTATTCTTGACTTGAAGGCTAATGTAAAGATGTGTGAGGCCAAGCAGAGTTCTTGCTGGGACTCTCCTAGTTCCCCATCCTTTCTAATAGCAAAAGCCTGCAGACTTGGGCACACCAAACGTCACTGCTCTGAAGCGGCAGATCACGAAGTGAGCTGTCACACGGGAAGGGAGGTGGGTTTTAAAGAGCACCGGCGCGATCTGAAGGACATCCAGCACCTGAGGTGGTTTGCAGCCGTGCAGATTTCCTCAGAAGAAATGCTGAAGAAAGCCGTTAAATAGGACAGCTGCAATAAAGCGTGACTGCGAAGTGGCTTCCCAGCTGCTCCCCCGGACTCCCTGGGGTTTGTGCCATAAGGTTTTTCTTCTTTTGTGTACAAAAAGAGTCTTTTTCCCCCCTCAGTTATTTTCAGACTCTCCCAGCATGACAAATACACAGCCAATGTCGTGGCTTTCTGGGAATGAAGAAATGCAGTCAAACAAAAGTAGCAAAAGCTGTACAAAAAGCAAAGGGAAAGCCCACGGATCAATGTCACCGAGTGCTACACTGCTAGTAGGAAAAATGGTGTGAAACCACCAAGGAAACGATGAGTTCGTAGCTCCTTATTCGCAGACTTGTACCATTGCGTGTTCCAGTGGAAAAGCTGATGCCAGGAGGTCACCGCCGAGTGACCGGGGCTGGGCTGCCTTTCCATGAGGAACCCCTCGTCTTCTCTAGGTGACACATAGGTAGGTCTGCACACGGGCGCATGGACATCTCAAACTGCAGTTTTACGTTTATTCCATTGAAATAAAAATCGAACTGTGTGCCTCTCCCTACTGCACGTGGTGTGACATTTCCAAGCCAGCCTTCTACTGGCTCCGAAATCTATAAACTGCCCCAGTAACCTCACAGGTTTGTATTTCGCTGCTGTGACGCTGATGCAAGAGCCCCTGTGAACTCGTTAGCCCTGACCTGCGTTAAGAAGAAAAGACGTGTCCAGCCCAGTCACTCTGGTGATCGCAAGCGTTTCCAGGTGCAGACCAGAGGAATTAAAGTAGCAAGATGACCTCTCCCTAAATGTGTCTCTTTCTCAATCCACTCTAAAGCTCTGCTGGAGAGCTTGGCCCTGATGGATGCAAAAGGAGGGGGGGGAAAAAAAAGGTGGGGGAGATGTGGCGTTGTTTGCAGCACCCAGGGGCTTCCTTCCTGGCTTTGCTCCTTCGTGGTGAGAAAGAATGTGCATGCAGGTACCCTGGGGTGCTGCCTCCACGGAGCACCCGTGGTGGTGAGGATGTTTTCACCTTAGGCCACATTAAAAACAAAATCAAACAACGAAAACAAGTTCATTCTGAAGTTCTTGTGCTCAATGCTGAGTATAAACAAAATGGTGTCTTGGTAGGAACTGTGGAAAAGGAATGTCAAGTTTAACAAGAACTTTATATAGAAGTATTCTGATTGTAAAATCAGATCACACAAATTCTCTTTTTAAGTTATTACTATAATGGCACTTGAAATAACCCGCCCTTTGTGTTCCTTCCACGTGTACATAATGCTCAAACTCTTCAGGCTCATGACTGATTTGGGAAGGGCATCTCAGGCATGAAGAAGTAGCAGCAAGTCAAAGAGGAGAGGGCCCTCATGACAGAGGGAGACCAGGAAATAAAAATGGGTGCTGATAAGGGACTTGGGCTGCACCTACTTTTATGTGGAAGAAAAAAAGATATTGAAATCATTTGCTTGATTTGACTCCGCTTCCCTTGGGGTGTACACACTTTTATGTGGGAAAAACATAAAAGTTTTCTGTCGAGAAAGAGTGATCTGAACTGCTGGGATGTGGAGGGCTGTCATCTCCCAGCGCTAGGTGGAGAGCATGGGGGTAATTTAAGGGCAACGGGGGGTATTTATTAGGTTAGAAAGCCGTTTGGATGAAAAGTAAAGGCAGACTCTCCAAAGTGTTACACAATGCTGTTCAGGCTGAAATGCAAATTGGGTGCTTGAGCTGGGAAGGATTTGAGGGTTCATATTCATAAATAGGCTCATGGCTCAGAAACACTTAGCTATATCTTGAAAATTGATGATGAGAGCTGGCAGGCTTCTTATGCTAGACATGATTCTTATTTAGTTTTTATTTCATCTTAAATTTAGATGAAGATCTGGAGCAGAATTGTGTGTTATGTGAGTATAATGTCTTGTAAAAGGAAGCAGCACAATCCCTCTAGACACTACTATAATGCTATTGCTGCAGATAATAAATTATATTAACTGGAAATGGCTTCTAGGTGTTAGGGAGAATAACTGAGCTGTCAAAAGTGATGAACGAGGCAAGTGGAGAAAGTTTTAGCATCCTATCTTTGTAGTTATTTTCTGTAATATTATTCCGAGTGCTGCTTGCAAGCCTCTCTGTCCCAACTGCCTCCTATAATCTTTCCCTTCCGATCTTGAATACAGACATTAAGGTGACTGCAGGGAATGGGCAGAGCCAACCGAATTCATTGCTTCCCTCTTAGGCAGCCAACAGCATTAGGTTTTACACAGAAAAAATTTCCAGCTACGCAAAGCAGATGAGCTGCTCACATTGCAGAAGGTGAAAATTCCCTTTAAAAACCACCTGAAATCCTTTGGATGGATTTTCGTCTTTTAGGCACAGCCACGCTCACGATGAATTGACTAGGTGCAGACTGGGGCTTTCCTCTCGGCAGGCTCAGCTCCTTCCTCAGGAGGTCCCAGAAAATCCCGTCTGCTCAGTGAAAAACCTTTCAAGGCTGAGTCCCAGGAATGGTGTAACGTGCAAGGGAGGACGGAGGTCCAAGCACCAGTTTTATCTTAAAATAATGTCCTGAGCTGAAGGTGTGCATGCTGGAGCGATGCCATTTCCTGTGACTCCCATCACATTATTGTGGCAGCTGGCGACCTCCTACCCCCAGGTGATGGAGGAAACCTGAACGCTGGTCACTTCTCCAAGGCTGAATTATTTCTTTTTCTCCTGACTAATCAATGCAAGACAGTTCTCAGTGCAGAGCACTGCGCTCCTCATTTCCTCAGAGGCATACTAATGAGGCCATACTCACTCTTCCTCTCAACTGCAATGAATTTCGAATGACTTTCTAGTGCCCTGGCCCAAAGCAGCACATGATACAGTGGCTGTGGTGTTGCAAAGTGGTGGGAGATGTGGGATGGGCTCCTGGTAGACGGAGGAGGGAGCTGGGTCTGGGTCACCCAGATCCTGCAAGGGTGAATGAGTGCTCTGAGCACTCCATCGCTCCCGACCGAAGGGATGTAAGGACATGACTTCGGGAAGGATTTCCAAGCTGTGGATCTCGGGAGAAAAAGGCATCCTAGCCCTGTTAGGTTGGGGGGAAACCCCTTTGGGCTAAGCACCGCTGCCATGCCTGATTCTGTGCAGCTCCGGGTGCTGCCTGCTTCCCCTTCGCTGGGGCACTTGGAAAAATTTATGCAAACGAAATATATCAGTTTCACAGTAACTAAATTCATCTATTGAGGTCTCTTTTCTGGAAAACACTATCTCTAAAAAATGGCTTGATGAGAGGACTAAAACCATCCTTCTATGTGTATCAGGAAGGGAATGTTTAAAGCATTAGGCAGCAATAATCTCTATGTTTGATGACGGTACAACCAATATAAGATTATTACATGAAGTTTTTATGATTGTCCTTCAAAAAGTGTTAAAACATAAAGAGGACTTAGAGAACAGCCATGAGAATGGTTAAAAGTTTGGAAAAGACACGTTATAGTGAGAGTGTCTGGGCACCCATTTCATCTAGCTCATCAAAGAAGACTAAGGAGGAGTTTGATCATCTCGTATGAGGACTTATACGAGGAACAGAGATCTGGTGTCAGACAAAAAAATAGAACAAGATCTTATGACTGGAAACTGGATACGAATAACATCAAAGGGGAAATAAGGCTTGGATTTTTACCAATGAGAATAATGAAAAATAAGAACACTTTTCTGGTGGTTATGAAGGATTCTTTAGCGCTATACACTTTTAATGAAGAGGGAATTTCAACCTAAAAGGCTATTCTAGTTCCAGCAAAAGTGATGGAGAAGAGGCAGAAATAAATTTGGATGAATTTGGTGATTTGTGTTGTGGAGCTCAGAAGAAACGATCCCAGAAACTCCTTCCCAAGATCCACTCCAGGGTCCTTTTCCTTCCTGCGACCCACTCCAATCTCTCACCATTTCTTTGCCCTCCTTGCACTCCCCTTTGCAGGACCAGGTGTCCCACTGGCATCACCCTCACCCCCCTCCTCATGTGGCTTCTTCACGTTGACAAGCAGCATCTTCTCAGCCATCACGTTCAGCCATCACGCCCTCCTCCTTCATCCAGCCTCCCCCAGATTCATCCTGGCCCCAGCTCTACTGCCCAGGGAACAACCCCTGCATCCTCCTTGGTCAGCACCTTCTCGCGTTGGCACTGCTGGACCCTCCCATCAACCCACTCTCCCAGTTGGAGCCTCTGTCCCCCTGCCTCCCCTTCTTTCCCCTCTGCACAGTCCAAGCCCTCGTGATCTACACTCGTCCACTGGGCTTTGCAGCGCAAGACACCTCCCTCGTCCCCACCCAGCTGAGGTCACCTATCATCAGTCCACAGCAGAGCCTGGATCCTGACCCACTTTTGCCTCCACCTTACTGCCCCACTGAGCTCGCATAATGGGGAAATTAGTGTATTTTTTCTGGGAAATTAAGGGCAGACCCAGAAAGGCCACATCCTGCATAATCTGGGATCAAGGGAAATTTGATTTTCAATGATCCATAGAGCCCGGTCTCTAACACAGTCTAACCCTGGAAGTCCCTAAAGCCCATTAGCTACCACCTTTTCCCATGAAAGCTCTTGAAGCACCTGAACTTATGCTCCTAAGTAGGTCTGGAAGATCCCTGGTGGAGACCAAGAATTTCCTAGCTTTTTCTTAAAAATCTGTGCATCTCTCTTGCCTTAGGAATGGGTGATCAACTCTCAATTTGCAGAGCACACCCCTGTTTCACTCTGGGGGATTTCCGTGTTTCATCTCGAGACAGTCTTTCCGTGTCAGCAGGATCTGTGCAAATAAACTCAGCTGTTGGAAGGAAACTCACTTCTGAGGGGAGGAACCTCTCAGACCCTTTTTCCAGGATTCATTTTAGTATCGATGGTGTGGTGGGCGTAGGTGTGTTTGTGTGCCGCATGCTGATGAACACCTGGACATCTATTGTTCCCTGCTTGAATGCCACAATGTCTTCTTCATAGGAGCAAGGGGTTGTCCCTGAGCTCAGTTTCCACCTGCCCTGCAGAAGGAGGAGGTCGGGAATGCAGGAGCAGACGTGCCAATGCCTTCAGTGACTCATTCATCTCCCACTCACATGCTCATAACAGAGAAACCCCTCCGCACCTTCGAGACTTTATTTTAAACATTTTAAATATGACCTTTCTTCTTTCTCCAATAGAGCTCATATTTTTATTAATCCTTTCTTAATTCTCTGAGAAGGGGTACAGATATGTGAATTAATCCCCAATTTTTGTGTATGTTTTTGGTGACAAATAGCACAGAATAGCAGTGCTGGGGGCTGAACTCCTTGGTGTTCAGTGAGTACGGCAGGCACGTCACCTCCACCAACCTGGCAGGGTTTCCTCCTCTCCAGGTGGCAGCCCACCGAGCTGGAGGTCTTCTGCTCAGATGCAGCCCAAGAAGCAATGAAGATCAGTCAAAGGAAAGCTAAAGATTTTTTTTTAATTGGAAATGGAGGTCCTTATAGTCTTACACAGGTTCTCAAAGTGGTGGTTATGCTCTGGGTTGAATCAGCTGTCTTGAGTTAAAATGATCTCTTCTCCAGCTCCATTCACAAGAGCTCGCCAGAGCTCTTCCCTGGTCCTTCTTCCTTCCCATCTGTGTCTTGCCTCATGCGAGGGGCAGATGTGGAGTGGAAGATGGGCTGATTTATTGAAAATGTTAATGGAAGAATGAGCTCATGTAAGAAGAGAGAGAGCCCACGTCTTCCCCCAAATAGCAGTTACAGCTGACCCCAACACCTTTAATGAACTTTGAAAGGGTCCATTAAAGGCAGACACCGTAGGAGAGATGTATTTTTCATCATGTTAAAAAATCAGAGCTGCTGGAAAAGGTCAGAGATACTCATTTCCACCAGACTATCTGCTTGCTCTGCAAAAAACGAATTGAGTAAGCTCCAGATAAATATTCACACTTTTTGATGCTTGACGGAATCTCTCTTTCTTTAAGTTCATTGTGTTTTACTGACTGTTGCTTCACATTAACCTTCATTATACAGGAATCTGTGAATCAGACTATATGACGGCGCTATATTGCACATAGATAACATTTCATCAAGCTGTACATGTTGCCTATTACATTTCTCTTTTACCTTTCCCACAATTCTGAAGTCCTATAGAGTAATAACAGAGAATTTTCTCACCCAGGAATAATAACCCAGCTTCGCCTCTGTCATTTCTCAAAAAAATATCTCCTACCGTGTCTGAAATTTTAAATGGAGGGAGTAAAATAATGAAATCCTCTGTGTTGCAGTCTGGAGGGGAAGGTATAATAAAATATGCTATCATTCTCGTTTAGTTTTGTTCAGTGCATTCACAGCTTTATTTAGTGCATCAGTGATTTAGTCACAGAAGAATACAAACCAAAGTAGAAAATTATGATTATTTTTATACAAGTAAGCTAAAAACTTCACAGAAATAGGATGAAATACATTAATATAGGCTATACCACAGTTCATGGGACCCAAACCAGACTCCAAAGGAAATGGTGTCTTACTTAACCATAGGACTGGTTTTGCATCAATCTTTTGTGCTGGTGTAAATTTTACCTAAAGAAGGTAAATGTTTTAGGAAGGGGAGAAATTCTCAGAAAAATAGTCTTTTTAACTGCAGATTTTACTTCCTTATTTCGTAAAGTGTAAATGATCGGGTTTAACAGAGGAGTTAAAATAGAGAAGACAACATTGCTCATTACATGGATATCAACAGGAATGTCTGCTCTGTAAGAAACATATGCCGCAGCAATGGATGAATAGTAAGTGCCAACCACAATCAAGTGGGAAGTGCAAGTCGAAAAAGCTTTAGTACGTCCTTCTTTGGAGTTGATCTTTCGTATGGAGATAATGATGCAGGCGTATGAGAGGGTGACGAGCAGGAGAGGAACGATCGATACAGTCATAGCGATGGAGAACCCCAAGAAGGTTTGGAAATCGGCATTGAAATCTGAGCACGCCGCTTGCACCACTGCCAGGTGGTCGCAAAAGCAGTGATAAACTCTGGTTGTTTCACCGTAAGACAAGCGAGAGGTTTGCATGATGACGGGGACGGGTATTAACAGCGCCGTTACCCAGGCGCTCCCGGCCAACCGGACGTTTACTCTCCTTGTCATTTTGGCTGGGTAACGCAGGGGGTTGCAGATTGCTTCGTAGCGATCGTAAGACATGACAACGAGAAGCAGCGCCTCGGTTACTGTTAGCCCGTGAAAACTGTACATCTGCAGAAAACAGCCGTGAAATGAGATGGTTTTAGCGTTGGCCAGAAACATGGCTAGCATTTTGGGAATGGTGGTGGTTGTAAACAGCACATCTAACACAGAGAGGTTAATCAAGAAAAAGTACATGGGTTTGTGGAGCTTACGGTCAAGCACGACTACAGTGATGATAAGGATGTTACCAACCAGGATCAGCAGGTAGAACAACAAGAACACAACAAAGAGGGGGGTCTGGAAATCCTGAAGAGCCGGAAACCCGACCAGGAAAAAGTGTTTAGTGGAAGCATTGCTGCTGCAGCTGTCCATGGCTGGTGGAAACGCCTGCAGGGAAAAACACGGAGTAAGGAGACAGCCCTGGCCGGTGCGCAGGAAGGTTGTGGGATCGGGAACACAGCGGGCTTCTCTAAGGCGCTTACGGAGGTTGTGCAAAGGAAGCACGAAACTGCACAGAGCTGAGCGCATTGCAGCGCACTTCACTCCACCACCCTGGGGCACGCGCGTGTGAAGTCTCTAAGCCGCTGTTAAGGTGGTTTGAATTCTCTGTTAATAATACAAATTATTTCTGAAGGCTCTGAATGGCACGTTTTCCAATCTTGCCAAAGATTAAATCTTGCTAACAAGGAGACAAGGGGAAGAATGATATAACTGAGGCTCTCTAGAGTCGCATAAAATCACTCGTCTGGTATTTTTGCAGGAGCGGTAGCAGTTAGGAGAACAAGACTCACTTGTTCGCTGGAGGAGAGACTCTCCAATCCCATGAACAAGACTCGCATGCCATTGGCTTTTTTAGGAGGTTTGACGAACACCTCGGCTCCGATGGGCCGGGCAGGATTCGCCTCACCTACCTTCGGGTGCTCTCCATGCAGAGCCCTCTGTCCTCGCCGGTGCCCTGGGTTCCCTTTCTGGGCAATGGGGGAAAAGGGGCATTTTCAGGATGCAGCTCCTCGGATCTGCTCTGCACCCGAGCAGCTGCTTTCTGGACGTGCCCATTCTTCTCCCCAAGGGAATCCGGGGGATTAGCTCTGACTGGGGGATCTGTGTATTCATCTCTCTTTCCTTAGCCAGCTTTTACAAGCTTTGCTTGTCATTCTCATCAGCTGTTTTCATGTTACCTTTGGTTGGCTACTCGCAGCTCACTGCGTTGTCCATAGTTGTTGCGGAATGTGGTTGATTTCTGCTGGGATAGCTGAAATGCAGATTAAAATGTAATTTTTTTTTTTTGGCTTCCAGTTTGTTTCCTGGTACAAAAATACAAAGGAATTTCCATAATAAATGATTTGGCTCATCTAGCCATCAACTCTTTTATGATAGTCAGTAAGAAATCTTTTAGAGACTCATGAAGTTCAAAGACTCCATAATAAAAAATTCAGAAGAAGGACCAGTCAGTGACTTCATCTCAGATGAACTGAGCCATGATATGTAACATGGTATGTGACAGCTTACAGCCCTTTCATCTGTTCGTTCTATATAATGTAGCTCTACAATTACATGATTCATATAAACTCGTGATCCTTTTAGTTTCTTCCCAGTTGTCTTCTATAACTGAGCACTTTATGCTCTTTCTTTTGTAGAAATAACCATTTTCTTTTATAAATTACAAATGTTTTCCTCAACCATGCTGGCTCTACACTCATTCTTCTGCAGCAGGAAAGGTTAAAAAAAAGCGTGTGCCACAGTTTTCCATTTGTTTTACGTACCTCCATTATGTGCTCTGTGTTACAGAGATTTTCTTTCCTCTCAACAGAAATATTTCCTCTGTTGCACATAATGATTTAATGTAAGTTATAAAGGACTATTCTGCCCAAACCCTATGGAATATG